CATTTAATGACTGCCACTCTAGTTATTCGTTTAGGGCGATAGGCAGGTAGGAGCCCCCCCCCTTTGGTATTAGCTCTGTCGAAATAGCTGCTGCTAGACAGAACACTGCCTTATTTTGCCGCCACTGGAACCACCTTGAAAGTTAGCTTCTCTCCCTCAATGTGGTGAAGCAGCAGCCTTTGGGCGGCTGCTTCTGAGGGTTGTAGGAGCTTACTTGAAAAGGTGCAGCACTCCTCCTTTCTCACTGTGGTGAAACAGCCTTTGGGTGGCAGTTTCAGAGGAAGGAGGAATTCACTTTGAAAAAGGTTCAGGCCCTCTCCTCCCTCACTGGTGAAACAGCCTTTGTGTGGCTGTTTCAGAGGGATGAGAGGAACTAGCTGGAAAAAGTGAAAGAGCTCCATCCCTCACTGAGGAGAAGCAACCTTTGGGTGGCATCTTCTGAGGGATGAGCAAAGGGTTCCAAACAATGATGTTCAGTAGGTGGAAGAACATCCCCTCTGGTCTCTCCCCAGGGGTTAACACCTACACTGGCTCCTACAATGCTTTTTGTCCCGCCACTGGAACCACCTTGAAAGGTAGCTCCTCTCCCTCTGTGGAAAACGAGCCTCCCTGATAAAAGGTGCAGGACTCCTCCTTTCTCGCTGGAAAGAGGAATTCACTTTGAAAAAGGTTCAGGCCCCCTCCTCCCTCACTGTGGCGAAAATTCCGAGGGAGGAGAGGAACTAACTGGAAAAAGTGAAAGAGCTCCATCCCTCCCTGAGGGAAGAGCACTAGGGTTCCAAACAATGATGTCCTGTAGGTTGAAGGGCATCCCCTCTGGTCTCTCCCCAGGGGTTTACACCTACTCACGCGTTTGCCGTGCGTGGCAGCCTTGTGCGCTGGGAGACGGGAGTCCTGGAGTCTGAGCGACGCCGTGAATGAGTACGCCCAGCGGCTAGCAACACGCCTCTTTGGTCCTCTACTCCAGCAAGACAGGCGACCTGATCCCGGCCCGGTCACGGTCAATCGGCTGGTCTCCCATGGGAGGCTAGGGCCAAGCAGTCATGCCTCCATTGGCACTCACAATGGTCCATGAGTGCCGCCACAATGGTTATTGGCTGCGTATATCCTCTCATCACCCCTGTGGCTGTCAGACACTGGCTCTGACACACAGCTTCCCCTTGTTGGACTCCGTGGTGGGTAGGGGCGTGAGAGGATGAAGCACTTACCATTATATGGAAAAATTAAATAACCCCCCCCCCCACAGACTGAGATAAACGTTGACGACCCATGCAAGGCCCAGACCACGGCAACCACCCTGGAACCATTCCTGGTTCCAGATGGTGGATTAGTCCATCAAATGGTGAAAAAGATGGACTCTCGGGCTGAACCAGCCGAACCAGCAGCTGCTGCCCCCACGAACAAGCCCCCTAGCCGAAAGGGCGCACCGAAGCGACCAAGGCCGGAGACAGACTCTGATGGAGAGTCTGGACCCAGCAAAAGTCGCTTCACCCAGTTCAAGGTCCCAGCCAAACCCGAAGGCTTCGACAATGCCTACCAGTTGGTCAGAGCATTAGAGTTGCAGAGGCAGATCCGGCTCTCAATCGAGTTGCCAAAGAACAGGGCATGATCATAGTGCCGAAAGATCATGCCACCCAGAACTTCTTTCGGGAAATCAGGGAACTGAAAGATGGGAGAAAAGTGAGCCTTTCCCCATTAACGCCCGAGGATAAGAGAACCAAGATGGTGCTACTTGGCTTCTCAGTCTCGTACGATGTGGAGCTAATCACTTCGCATCCTCAGGTGGTGGAGGCTTCCCGAATGGCAGTAGGGAAGACTCCAACCAGGCAAGTCCTGGTGACACTGAAAGGTGCCCCAACCACTACCCTTGATCTGGGTAACTGGGGCACCTACAAGCTGAGGACCTATGTGCCTGAACCACTTCGGTGTTTCAAGTGCCAGAAATACGGTCACCACCAGGCTAACTGCACAGCCAAGCCTAAATGTGGTGTCTGTAGTAAGGCACACAACACCGAGGTATGCCTCACGGCCCACAAAGAGAAAAAGGAGACAACAGCCAAATGTCCCAACTGCGCCAAGAGGCATCACGCCTGGAGCCTGACTTGCTCTGTCAGGAAAGAGGCGGCCCTCAAACGACAAGAGATTGCTGAAAGCGATCAGATTTCATTCCTGCCCCCCCAGGCACTCATGTGTGGGGCAGGAAGAAAAGTGAAAAGGCCTCCCGACCTCCTAAGAGGAAGGAGGCCGCCCCACAGCCGACACCGGACGTCTCCAACCCAACGGAGTTTCCGGACATGCCGAAACAGAAAAAGAACCAAAGGAAGAAAGGTTCTAAGAAGGCAGAAAAGCCCTCGTCAAGAGATGACGATCTCTTTGACGAGGCAGACATGACTCTGCTCGTGACTGCTGTGGTGACAGCAGTGGCGACAGCCCTAGGGAGGACAAGGGAAGAGGCGGAGAAGGCAGTGACGGTCGCCATGACGGCAATGACCAAGACTGT